GATAATCACTTACACAAAATATTTTAAACAATGTATAATTTAAATGCAAAAAAATATTATTAAAATAAAAGATTTTCAATCAACCAGCTCTAATACTAATACGTATAGAGTTAGAATAGCATTATACGATTGTACGATAATAAGACGAAGAAAATATATTAATGGTAAATATTCAATTCATTATTTAAATTCATATAATTAAATTAGTTAATTATTTATTTGAATTTAATTGTCTAAATTTAAAATCGAAAGAATTGACAAAAAATTTTTTGAATAGAATTAAATTAAAATTGAACAATATTTTTTGGGTATTTCTTTTTCATTTAAAATCGATCAAAAAGGAATTGTCACTAACGATGGATGCGGCAGTATGTTAGCCTTTTTAAGAAGTTCAAAATTGGCTATAGAAAAATCTCATAAAATTCGATCGGAAAATGACTTTGAAATTTAATTGTTAAATAGGATGGATGAAAGGTTACCTATTAATGATCGTTTTAAAAATACCATTGAAATTGTTTATTTGCCAAAAATTTCTTCTCTTTTAAGAATTGAATGCTTATCTGATAGCATCAACAACTATTGAATAAAATAAATTTCAAAAAATTCATTTGTTAAAATTGTCCAAATTTCTAAATGTATTAAATATGTTGAATCATTTTTAAATTGATAAATTTAGTTTAATTTCTAATTTTATCAATTCAAGAATTCAGTATGATTTGCTAATTAATTTTAATCATTAAATAATCCATTAAAATTTGACCATAATAGTTGGCAGAATAAAATAGAAATTGAATAAAAATTTGGCATTTTTTATCTTATTAAAATATTAGATTAATTAGCAAAACAATAATTACTTCTTATTTAAGTAATTAAGTTATTTAAATGAAAAATAAAATTTATCCACATCCATTTTACGGATTTGATAAATTCATAATTAATAAATAATAAAATCTTAATAAATAATAGTATAGCTTGCAAAATCAGGAAAACTTGTCGGATCAGGAAATTTTTCATCTCTTTCTTTTCTATTAATACGGACGGAAAAGGATAATATCAATCATTTTACTCTACAATTATTCCGCATTTTCTTCAATTTTTGCATATCCTTACAATATCAACAATCTTTGCTGAAGAAATTTTGAAGGTAACGCATTACTTCAGTAATTAAGAATTGGAAAATGAGAATTAAGGATTGCGAATGCAAATTCAATTTGACTAATTAAAATTTAATAGAAAGTAAAACAAAAATTTATAAACAATAACGGAATTCAAAAATGGATCAATCATTTATCCAAATTTGAAATCTGAAAGCAATTTTAATCGAAATTCAGTTGAAGACATTTCTATTATCATATTATCATATTATCAACGAGTAATAAATAATAATTCATATTATTGTTTATTGATGTAAAATTTCATTGTCACTAATTTTATACTAATAAGCAATCATTAATGTGAACTATTATTAATTAATTTCTTTTTGAAAATTTTCTATATTAAAATTAGAATTGTCACCTTTATTATTCCTTCTCACTTTCATAAAATTTTTTTTTCAAAATTTAACAAATTTTTTGATAAAATTAAATTAAATTTTAAAAAGAAACTTTTATTTCATATTTGTTTAATTTAGAGAAAAAAGAATTCATATATGAATTTACCTGTAATAATTAACTAAATGTTTTGTGGTAAAATGAATAAATAGGAAAATTATTTTACTTTCATTTTCTTTAGCAAACCAAAATTGAAAATTTCCACTGTTAACAGTGCTAATTATCAATAATGTATGAAACTTCACTGTCAACAATGCTAATTATCAATAATGTACAAAAACAAAATATTTTAATTAATTTCAATTATTATAAAAATTTCAAAATTTTGAAATAAAAGGAGCAAAAAAGAAAAATAATTTAAAACTATTTTAATTTGTGAGTGAGCCATACAATTATTATGTAATTATTACAATTACATTATTATAACTAATTAATTACAATTATCATAATTATACAATTATTAACAAAGTGAAGCATACAATTATTATGGAAACCAAAATTATATCTTTAATTTGAACAACTGGAAAAAGTGTAAGTTAAAATGAATAATAAATAAGGTGAGAAATTAGCTCTTACCATTTTGCTTTCATTAAATTTGATTAAATTTAATTTGTTTCTATGACGTAGACGAATGGAATTATTAATTAGAAGTAAATGAATTTAATTTATTTGACAATGTTGTAAATGTAATAAATATATTATCGGTAATTTTGTCAAAGTGAAAATATTTTTCAACAATTTTGCAATTTTACATTTTACATTTTTTCCATTTTGTCAATTAATAATTTTGAAATTTTGCATTTTTCATTTTCTTTCATTCTCCAACCATTTCTATTTTTCTTAATTAATTATTTGTAATTACTCAAATAAAGCGAAAAAAGAAGTATTAATGATAAATTGAAGAAATAATAAAAATTGAAAAGAGAAAAAATTATAACTAAGCGTTTTCTCTTTTTCCTTCATATATATTTATAAACTATAAAATACTTTTTTTTGATAATTTTTTCTTCAATTAGAAATTATATGAAAATTTGTTTTGATTATTTTTTTTTCAATAAAATTAAAATCTGTCAATTAGTATGCCTAATTTTGTTTAAATTAATTAATGAAAAATGTAAAAAGTAAATAAATTACTGATAAAACTAAAATATTTAAAAGAAATTAATAAAATTATAAGAATTATTTAGCAATAATAATAATATTTAAAACTAATAGAAATATAAAATTTTATTAAATCAGAGGAGGAAGTTTTCGTTTCACTAAAATATATATTATATATAAATTCGTGTTAAATTTTTAAAAGTTATAAATTAACCTATCCAAATGATTTTTTAAATAAGTTTTAAAATCATAGTAATAATGGTTGATACCTTTCTTCTCGCTTTATTAGGCATTACCGTATATGTCGAAAGAAATACATAAAAAGTATAAGAAAAGAGATAATTGAATCAATTTTCAAATCTCAGAAATGATAGAGAAGAAAAAACCGTCTAATTGCTCGTTACCGAAATATTACCGATTTATTGAAATGGACCAATCAGAATATGCTGTTGTATATCCAATTGATCGAACGGTATGATCTCAATGATTGATTATTATTATATTGTTGTTGAGATATTGCAAGCGGTAATTATTCCATTCCTAACATAATGTCTCTTATTCAGTTTTTGAAAAAAAGAAACTGTCATAAGATTTTATCACAGAAATGATAAATCAATAAAATATAATGATAAATTGATAAATAAGTGATAGATTAAATTTTTTTCTTTTCGAACAAAAATTCATTATAATTTTAAAAAATATTTTGCAGACAATGCTGGAAATATTTAATCGTTTGCTAATATGATGCTATTCATTCAAGAAATAAAACCGGATCGTAAAATTGGTACTATCCTGATCATATTGTTATGCATGCATGTATGCGATATATGATGTTGAATCAACAATTTGTAATTATTAAAATAATTCATAAATTCCAAATAAGAAAAATTGAATCAAAAATTTTCAACCAGAAAAATTTTTGGGTATGTTCGATCATGGATTTAGTAAATGCTTCGATTTCAATTTCATTAGTTATCATTTCACTAATTTTTTGTTAACAATAATTATTGAGCAAAATTACTTTATGAAAATTGATAAAATGCTATTCCAAAGCTAACATTTGTTCAAAAATAAAGATTTAGCAGAAGAGATTCGGTTGAATTTCAAAATATTCCGGAAAATCGATTGATTTAGCTGAAGTTAAACGTAAAAATCCCCCGATGAGAAAATTTTATACGACTTATAAAAAATCTTATAGAAATTCAAAGAAGAAGCAAACTTCAATTATATATTTTGACTTTAAAGGGCAATAATTGCCTAATTGATAGGTTTAAACTGAGAACTTCTTAAACAGCAAAATTTAGATTTCCTTGATAATAAGCAATAATTGCACATAAAAATGAATAAATAATGAAAATAAGTAATTTTCAGCCTGATACTAACAAACCTAATACTGTTTGCTTTATGTTTTTTCAGTTCTCAATTTAGATCTATCTAACATTTTTTTCATTTATTGCGTATGTTAGATCGCAAAAACATGTATTGAACATTTTCAACACCCGAAAAAATATACAAACTACTTCTGGCACTAAATTTTGATTTGAATTTAGATTCTTAATTTTTCGGGTATCGCTGACTGCATATACGATTTGAATTTAAAATGACACTTTTTTACTACTTTCATACAGGCAATTAAAACTGCTGTCCAAAAGAACATTTAAAAAAAATAATTTTCTAAATGTATCGTAATATGATATATCGATATCATCGAAAAACTTCCTAGACAATTAAAGCAAGATTAATGTGATCTAACTCCTAAATCGAAGTATATTCAGCAGTTTCTTGGATGTTGCACTAGTCAATATTTGAAAGATAGATGCTTAAACAACTATGACTTAACCTATGTTTTCTATAGAAAAAAATTATCGAGCATAATTCAGCAGAACAAAGGAATTAACTTCAGAAAGCAGTAACGCCACCTACCACTTAATCCAGATATGAATTCTGAAATAGGAGTGCAACTAATCAGGAACGTCAATTGTACATTTGAAGTATTATTAACACATGGTATGAAAATAACTTCTTGAAGAAGCTTTACAAGAAATTTCATTCAAATTCGAAACTTTCAAATGTAAGCAGAGAATAGTATTACACATAGAAACGAGTAATTTTACGTCTTACCTTAAAGTCGCAAAGTTTTGGAGCAAAAAGTCTTTCAAAATTTTGCATTTATTCTAATACCTAAAATCACATTCACTTTCTTCCATATCTTACATCACAAAAAGTGTTAGATTTCAATGTAAATAAAATCACAAGATAACATCAGCCTTCATTACCGCAAGATATCTAAATTCACAAATTAAATCCAAACAAATAAGTAAAAACTAATAAACAATAATTTCATCAAAATTATGCCCGTAAACTATAACGACCCGAGGTAAAGGATTGTTGGGAATTCTTGATAAACGTGTCTGCAGCGAAAAGAACTCCCTGCATGGCATGCTTTCGCAGCTGACGCGATAATCCATTTCTTTCGCGAATGCGATTGCTCACTGACAGTTGTTTTCGTGGAGGAAATGGTGATCTCGGCGATGAAACAAGATTTTCTGATGAAGTGGCAACATCACCTGAATCTGACAGCGCTTGCTGCATCGAACTCACCGCATGAATGAAATGTTTTAAAACTCTCCTACTGTAAGGAACATTCTTTTCAGTCAGCATTTGATAAACACATTTGTATGTATCAATCCAGCGCTGCAATGCGCATAATTTGATCTTCTCTCGTTTTCCTACCATATAACATAAATTCCGCGCCTGTAATAGCATAACAACATCAATAACATTAAATCTCATACAGTCATCAATTACTGTTTAATACATGACTCAACTTAGATACCGATAAAGGCATAAAGTGCACATGGTGATATATAAGTTGCTACAATATGGACTATAGCAATCACTAGCTAGTGAGTGAAATCAATAGGGCCGTTGTGTTATAATGTGTTATAATGAGACAGTGATTGATTACTGATGGATTTCATAAAAGTTATGCAATTTTCATGTTAAGATATTAAAAAATACCGAGAATGTTAATCATAGGTCTACCAAAAAAATTAAAAATTTCGGATGAAATAATGACCTTTTCCAAATTTTGCCGTATTACCGCTTCGCTCTGCTGTCTACTGGGAAGAACTGCAAAGGGAGATGATCGCAAACGAAGAGCTATTTGTCGCTCAACCTCCGATTTGTCGTTCAGCAATGCTTTGTATCCATTATCAATACGACGCAACTTCCAGTATTCATAAATGTCCGAAACCACATCATCGCTAAGTGAGAGCATGCCCGCGATATCTTCTACAGTTACGTATAAGAAAAATATGCGTTCCATTTCTTGCAGCTGAAGTTTTTTAATCATAATGAAATCTGAATTAAATGATAAAACTAATCTAACATGAAATATAATGAAAAAAATACTAGGGAGATCAACCCGATAATTTCTTTTAAACAAATACCGTTAATGTAGTTGCACAAAGGACATCTGGGTTGCAAAACCTCAGATTGGAGCCAAACATTTTCTCCAGTGAATGCTGTCTACAGAGGCTAACCATACGAACATTATCATCATCAACATCGTTTTCATTACTGCCATCGTCGCTATCATGCTCTATACACATTATCTGAAATCAAGAAAAATTTTAATTTAAACAAAAAATTTAATGCCGGAATACACTAGTTATTTTTCATGTCCCATATCAAAAAACATAAAAAACGTAATGCCGCAATACATGAATCGTCTAGAGAGCAAGGTATATAATGGTTAAGAAAAGCAAGAAATCTTTCATCTTCAATTCTTTCAAAGAGGACCACTATACAGATTGCTTTAAAATCCAGCAAATACACAAATCAAACCGTACGACAAACACTTTTCTCTCAAATTTACAAAACAAGATAACCCTATGTTTAACCCACTTATTAGCATTCATATTCCTTACAGTTAATATGCATGTATATTTACAACTCCCACATTCGGTGACTTCTGTTCAAATTTAAACTCCCTCACTTGTCCACTGCGAAATGCACAGCACACATGGAAAGCAGTTGTACATGTTTCTATAGAACACTGAATACAAGCTCCTTGCTTCGTACCACATATCGAGCATCTAAAATATGTCAAATGAATAAACAATTTAAAAATGTAAATGAAAATTTACAAAGACGCAAAAGGAACTCTACCCTTAACAAGCAGCATGCTAATTATAAAAATTAATGCAACAAAATCAGTGATATGAGCTGGACATGATTTTCTGTTTATAATGCGAGACGATAATGTATTTTTCTGCTTATAATGCAAGCCGATAATGTTTTTTATATTTACAAAGTCTTCATCGATTTTGAATAACATGGAAATGATTATACCTGAGCGTCCACCGTCCATAAGGTATATCACAAATATTCGCAATCGGTTCACGATGAGTAACATCTGCGAAACGGACTTCATGTATCCAAAGTGCGCAAACAATATGTGCCCATGTGTCACCTTCTTTTGTGCACTTCATTGCACCACCCGTAAGCGGACACAGCACGCACTGAGGAAGGGCCTTAAAAATTTTGATAATTCTGAATATTTCGAAAACTTGAGAAAACATAAATGGAATGATAAAATATTGTCCATCAGTGTAACTATGACAGTATGCGTTCACAAATATATTTCACGCTTAAATGTTATCTTCATCTGGAATTTCTAACTGATATTTCCTCAAAAAGTAAAAAACTTTACATTGTAACCAAGAAGCATGCACTTCTGGCAAAGCCATTCATCCGGTGGGACAGAATCAAGTCCGTAACAAGACTGATGTACACCTACGTTGCAACCATCACAGAATATAATTTTATCGTCTTCTTCATAATCCGGCTGAAAATTTTAAAAGTAACATCACTTTTTCTTACTGACAAGCATTTACTCTAGATATTTATTATGAACGAGGAAAAATCAAAGCTCTGGCTCTTTCACTGGTCTTCAGTAAAATATTAGTATCGGATAGATTAATATTAATATATAAATATTAACATGAGAAAAACAAAACAGTTGACGTCTATATTATCGAGTTTCTTCTGCGAGACAATTATTTAGTTAATCAGCTCCGAAATCTCCCGAACGGAACTCATAGTTCTGGTTACCAAGCCAGTCCATCAACTTCCTCGTTTATAATTAAAGACCAATTTAAGAATCAGACAAACCTGACGACATATATCACAGCATACGTTTTCATCAAATTCTGCATCCGCGGAGATTATAGGGGAAGCAACAGATGATATGAGGTCGTTAAGCATTGCCTGAAATGTTTCGATACATGATAAAGATTCCTCTGATACTCAATCAACATGAATGAAGACATTCTATATCCGGAAAACTCCAAAAAATCACTGTAGTCATGTTCTCCAACCAATATAAACAAATGCAATGAAAACAGTACCTGACAGCAAGAAACCTCCAATTTATCTATAACTTCGCCGAAAGTCTTTTCACTGATTGGTGGCAACCCAACAGCGAATCGTTTTTCATTTAATTTGAACAGAAATACACGATCAAGTCTATCTGCTTGATAATTACGCAATTTTGGCATAATTATATGCTTGTGTTTATCACCAATATACCGACGATCGTGAACTGAGATCAATGAGCCATTCCTTCATAGAATTAAACGCTAATGAAGAAACAGCAAACTAAGAATTAAAGCAATTAAAAAATTAAGTACAATTGTAAAAATACGCAAGGAAATTACCTTTTCGAAGAAACGCGTGGCCGCACCCGTAAACCGATAGATGAGGAGCATGGAGAGTGGTGAACAATAAAATCCGGCAACTTCTTGAACAATGGAACCTAAATCATGCCAAGCTTACAATGACAACATGCCACAAATTAGGGTACAAAATGGCAAAAGAAATTAAAAAACGAAAAAAAAGATACCTGCACACCGTGATTCCATTCCTCTTTCCAACGATCACTCATTGCTACAAATGTTGCTTCATCGTCTGATGACGCATCGCTATCCTCTTCCTGTTTCATTCTGTGCAATAAATCCGTCCTATATAATTCTGATGGGACTCCACCTGAAAAATGATAACTACTGCACAAAAAAAAACTGAAGTAAGAGAAAGAGAAAAGTATGGTGCAAAAAATTAGCAGCTGGTACATCAAATTTCCCAACAAAAACGTTTCGTTTCTTCCATTCACTCACCATCAGCAACGATATAAAATTTCCGCTTTGCCAAATACTGCTCATCTTCTGAATCTTCCTTGTCCTCTCCGAAATCTAGAGAAAAGCATACAAATGTCAAAGATACCTAAGCATACAAACAACTGAGTGATGGGAAATCGCTAGTCTCTGCAAGCTCAGCTTCATAAATCTTTAGCACAATCTAAATGTTCGAAACTAAATTAAATGCAAATTGTTAATTAAAAACATTAAATTTTTAAGAAACTAAATTTAACAAAATTAAAAAGCTGAGATGAAAGATTTGTGAGTTATAAGCATACCATCAGTAAAATGGTAACGCTGAGAAAAATTGTCCAGATTTCCAATAACTTCATTTCGAGGCACACGTAATAAACGTTGCGGAGTAACTATCTTACTTATTTCTAAAACTGATTAATGCTAAATGGCAAATGGAGAATGGATGAAATAACCAGAACAATGATGAAGTAAAAGATTATTAGTTCCATGATATCATAAAGCTCACATATCAGTTTTCAATGAATAAAATAGTAGCAAACCTTTTTTGATAATCGGTGCTTCCTCTTCGCTGGGACTAATTTGATTGTCGGTCGAGGGTGCTGTACATCGTCTGCGTAAACGTCCACGGATCCTAACAACTCCATTTCTCATCGCCACCTCTAAATAACAGAACCATAATTTCACAAAATAAAATGGAGAAAGATGGTATCAATTTATCAATTTTCCGATAGCGAGACCACAAGTAAGTGTGCAAGCACATATTCCTATGTATTGATACAACGTTATGAATAGAATATAGCACAAACAAACATATAAGCGGTAATTAACTAACACAAATGAAAAGTCCATTCCCGTCAAATCTAAATTTACTACTAAAAACTGAAGTAAATCCAAGGTGAAAAATTAATACATTCCGTCAAATCTAAACTTATCAAAAAAATGAAGTAAACACAAACATCGTGTCCACCACACTTACACTTACACATATACACAATCAGGATAGCAATCATCAAAATTGGCACACGTCCAATTTCCCCATCAAATATTTGAAAACACCGGATTGAAACCTTCAATCACTATTGCAACTAAATAATATCCCGGTTTTATTACAGCGAAACACAATAAAAAATTTTCGATAAATCATTTTATTAGAAATTCAAATTTAACACTTTCTAATTTTTGAAAATCTAAAAACATTTAATTTTAGTCATTTATTTTTGTATTATATCTAAAATATTTAAATTTAACAATTTGATAATGTAAATTTAAGAATTTAATAATTTAGTAAATGAGATAGTATTTTCAGTTCTTCCCTTTCAACATACCTTCGTCATTGAAAGCGTAGTAAAATGGGATGAAATGAAGAATGGACGTAGTGAAGCAATAAATCGCTATTGAATCAGTTTGTTAATGAACTTTTTGCACTAATTTCCGTTAGTCTGCATGCACAATGGGTTGTTTCAAAAGACTTTGAAATTCAAAAGGAATGGTATTGAGCAAGGCAATTATCCTAGTGGCTTAGAGATAACATCAAAAGTCCATACAATATCAACAACAATTGCTACTTCTTCAACCATTCTGTCTTTTACATACCCAATCACCACGACAATAGTACGGTTCAATTAATCGAAAATTACCGTAAAACCAAAATTACCGTAAAATTTGTTCGAAAATTAAATTTATGATAATTTTTTGTTTTTCTTAAATTTTAGCTGAGAAATCAATGAATTAATATATTTTAAAAATGAGTGAATAAACATATTTATTTGTACGTATTTGTCTGATAGTCATTTTTTATTCACATATATTTTCGCTATATTTAAAATTATTCGTTTATAATTTTTTTTAATTTATATTCTATGACTAATTAATTATGTCACAGAGATGTTTGATCGATGATATCAGTTGATATGTGGAAATGATTCTACGCAGTATAATTTGCTATGAAGAAAAAAGTTTCAATTTTATTACCGCTTATTGTAATATTAATATATCATCGAGCAATTCACGATTTGCATTACATTATTATGACAGGCTATCGTATCTTTTTCAAATTTCGAATTTTCATATTTCAGAGATTGTGATACAGTAATATCGATCTTTGCTCTCAGATAATTAATTTGTAGATCCTTTTTCTAAGGTTTTTCTTTTCTCTTGTGTTTAAGAAATTTGAAATTTGATAATTTAGAAAGCTAGAAAGAGAAAGGGAGAATATGATATAACCGAATGATTAAGATGTGATGTGAATTATTCATTACAATATATATAATTCATTATTTAAAACATATAACCTAAAAATTCTATCGGTTAGGATATTTAATTTATATACCATTAATTAAGACATACAAGATATTAATTAAATTAAGACATACAAGATATTAATTAAATTAATTAACGCATAGGCGATCCATTGATTGAAACATTCTCTATGGCTTCTTTAAATTAATATAAAATATCGTAATTTTTTGCATTAATAGAGTGAATTATTTAAAATCGTTGAAAAATTGTATACAACTCAAAGAATTGTAATTTCGGAAGAATGAAGTTAACAGTCTACGTGAAGCATTTGAAGAATTTGAAGATGTTGAAAATTCTTTGGATTAATGAAAAATTCATATGTATCTTATGATAACATCGAATTTCTCGAATTTTAGTCTTAAATTTTGCAAATTTTAATCATCGAATTTTAATCGAATTTTAATTATCGAATTTTAATCATTTTAATCTTGTATGGATGTTAAGTATGAGTAAATTTATTATGCGCTTCATTATATAATTTACTTATTAAAATATAAGTTTACTCGAGTATATTACATTACTAATGATACTCATTTCATTAATTGCAATCTGCGCAGAAAGTAAACATTGTCGGAAGTTTTTTATTATGCAGTGAAAATTAGGCTATTCACCATTATTCAATTGTTGTTGCAACATTTGTCACTATTATTCAACTGCAATTGCGATCCTTGTCATTTATTATATGATGATCATTGAAATAATTGTGGTTAATATTTGTCGGGTGTACAATCATTTAACAATCATAAGAATTTCATTCTTCAAATTTAGATGTTTTTAAGCGGTAACAATTGATGACCTATTGAATACCATTTAAATTAATTGCCAAGATTATTAGAGAACGGTTATTGATGAGATTATCCCCCGAATCATCCTCATTAGTAACAAATCATTTAGCGCATAATCCGGAAACACATTCAACAGCAATCTCATAAACTAATGATTACATCCATCTATGAAGGAAATGATAATACTCGAAATTTATGATAAGATTTTATATTCTGTGTAAATTTCAATTAAAATTTGAAATGATTAATTATCCATAAAAGAATTGCCGTTGAGATAAAAGGGAAGTGAAGTTATCGTAATTTCATATTATTTAATGATTTTCTATTAAATTATAGGCTTTAAAAAATTTCTCCAAACTTATTAATTATCGTTGATAAGCTGCTAACAAAATTGGTAACTTGAGTGAATATGAAAACCATTTTAATATTATTTATGTATTGGAAATTTATGCACCATTATTATTCAGATGAGCTTAGAAATGTTAACATCTGATGAGATGATGTCTCCGATAATGTTTCATAATATGCAAAATAAGCTTTATGGTTTCAAACAATTCCACAATCCACATTTTCAATGTAGTATCAATTTTCCAGTTCAGTGCCATATTCAGCACCTGAAAGTTGAAGTTTAAATTTTAAATCTAAGTTTAATTTAAGTTTAGGTTTTAAATCCATCATTGTTTTACTTTTCCTGCAATAAACGTTCATTTTAATTTACGGTAATTGTTTGTGTTAATGATTTAACTAGTAAAACTGAAAGATTTTAATTTACAGCATTATCGGAAAACATAATGCTGTGATAAAGTACATCATAGGGTCAAAGAATTAAGATGATCATAATGATAGTGATAATAAAGATAATGAAAATGACAATAATGTTAATAGACATAATGTTTATTTATTATTTGTACAATACAGAATAAATAACAAACAACGCATTATTTATTATTATATCCTTTGAGTCAAAGTTTTCTTAAAGAATTACTATTAAAGTAAATTAATGAATTAATTAGTATTATCATCATTTAGATTATTCTGTTTCATTCTCTTCCATTTTGCAAACTTCTCAACTTATTATAAATTTAATTCCAATACTATTCAAAACATTTTTTTTCGATCATGTAATTTATCGCACTTTCATCGGTTCAACAAAACCACAAATAATAATAATGTGAAAAGGTAATTAGTAAACAAAATTAGGTCAAATTTTTCATCAACAAAAAAAATGAAAGGACAATAATATATGTTAATGTTTATCAGACAACTCTTTATTATCTGATAAATCAAATTTTTCTTTCCTTTAGAAAAAGTGTCAACATTTATGCCTTATCATTCTCAATAATCTTCAATGTACATTTCATTTCATCGTTTGTTTCATTCTCGACAATGAATAAATATGTAACAAATGATTAATTATAAGTTAATAATGGAAATGAATCATGAAATTGGAATATGATATAATTAATATAGTAAAAAACATAAGAGTAAATTAATAAATAAATCAAATTAATTTTATTACAAATAAATTAATATTAGAAACGAATGAATATTCTTTATTAAGAATTATTAAATATTTCATCTTTTCATTTTTCTTTTGCTATATTTTAATGAAATTAAATAATCAAAGAAAGTTTTGTTATATCAAAGAAAAAGAAATTGAAAATTTATAGTAAAAAAAAAGATTGATATTTTTTGAATTGAAGAAGATGATATATAACCCCTTTGTAGTTCGAGATAGTTGTTCATACCAGGCCAAGGACATTAACACTATAACATGCATGTGCATCTACTACAACTGATTTTCATATCCCGTTTTCTTCATTTCCTCCTCATTTTGTCCCCTTTCATACCCGTTACTATTACTATCGTTATTTCCTTTTCTTCACCCGTTCTATCCCACCATCTTTCGGGATACTTTCTTCCGGATATCACTTACCCCATTCTACTCTCTTTCTTTAATATCATATCATATTTGATTTATTTTATTATCATTATTATTACTACTTGTTTATTTCCGGTTTTCAGGATAATGTTACTACTTCTTTCAGTTTTACAATTTCTATCTACTTTCTTATTGGTATGTTTTATTTCAACAGAAAACAAAAAGTTTCTTGTTTTTTTTTTGTTTGCTTGTTTTCTTTAATTATTTAAAAAATTAACATGAGTAAAAAACTTTTAATTAAACTGAGGAAAAAAAAGGATTAAAAAGAAAATATTTGCTATCATTGATTAGAATAAGAAATGTTTATATTTTGATAAGATCAAAAACCAAAATGGAAATGTTAATATACAAATGATGGTTGGTATATAAATTACCATATAT